AGCTACACTTGCGATGCTGAATGCCGCGCCAATACCGCCAATAAAAGCAGGGGCTTTTGAGGACGGTACAAGGTGAGATATAATCACATATGTACCGATTGTGACTCCTGCGCCTCCGGTGCCGGTAATGACACGGCCTGCAATGAGCATCTGGCTATTCTGAGCAACACCTGCGAGCAAGAATTTGTCAACATCCTACGTGCTTGTTCTGTGTTGGAGGCATGAAAACTGTGGTATTGCACGAACCGCATATGAGACTTCCAAGCTCGAAAATAAAGACCGATGCGGCATACGCGATCTTGATTTGGTGGTATTTGTAAATCTTGCCCCACGGCGACTGCAAGACAGCCAAGGACAAAAAGAAGGCCGAGCTATACCACCCGACCTGGTCCAGACTCTGGAACTCCTCAGTAATTTTGGGGATTGCGGTGGCTACAATGGTCTATGGACATGTTTGTGAGCCGATGGGCTGGTTTCCGAGGCAAGTCTGGGATTGAAGTTGGTCATGAATATCTTGAGAGAAACAACGAACCATATCCAATGGCACCTAAGTCAGGAACGTTGTCAGTACAAATGCCCAGACTTGGACATTGTAATCCATGCATCTGAAAGATGGGTCGCGAACCATACCAAGAACATGGTCAGGAGTGTTGCAATGTAAACAAGCCACAGCTTCCATCCCTGGGCATATTCGGCTGTAGGCACATTGGCCGCATCATTGCTGCCGTCCAACTCTATGTTTTTCTTGAAAGTTTCATGTTCCTCTAGGGATGCAGGCGCTGATTCTGACGGGATAGTTCGAGCGGGCGAAGATTCGGGGCGAGTGGTTTCGTCCACGCTCGCTTGCGTCTTGGCTTCATTTGACAAGGACATGATGGCGGTTTTCGATGAAGAAAAGGTCAAGGTCCCAGAAAATGGTGGCAGACTCTCTCCAAAGACAATTGCAAAGATATTGACTCACTTTCCGAGCATCGCTTGTCACATGAGGTGCAAGTATGTACCAGAAGAAGGCTGGCCAACGAGTCTACTGGCATGCCAGATGTTGTTGCTGGCACAAAAGTTCCATTTCAAAGTAGACCCAACCGCCGCAGGGTCTAGCCGCACACAATCGTGCACCCTGGTCTGTGATGGAACAGTCGGAGCACATCATCATATTGCCCAGGCTGTCGGCGTCTTGAACAGGACAGTCACACAGTTCAAAAGGTCAGATCTCATGTAGAAGCGGCGTCGGTGAGGTCGGCGTGCCGAGCGAGGTACTTTGTACTTGTATGAGAGATTCATGTGACTCTGGGTACTGGATATCTGCCAGAATCATCTGGAGCCTCAACATGTGACTTGTGAGCACTTGTGAGGGGCTTGTGGTGACACAACGGCATGCAGGACGGGAAATCTCACGCGCTGCATCAGGCAGTCCTCAGCAAATGGCGCCACCAACGAGTCAAAGTGAAGGAAGATGTTGACGTTGGGTACTTGCTGACAGCACGGCTGGCTGCCAAACGACTTCGACCGGTCAGCAGTTCGAGACAAACGAGGCTTCTGCGCAGGGTTTATCATCGCAGCCTCTCCCGCGGCTGACTGTGATTCTTGTTCAGTTCGCTTTCTCTATTCTCCAGGCTCTTCTTCTCCGTTCCAGTCTAGTCACCATTCACTCTCAGACCGTGCTTCTCTCGGTTTGCCTGGCTTTCACGTTGACTTCTCGTCATGGCTCAACCACAGCACCCAAATCTTCCTCTTCCAGACTACTTCTCCAAGTTTGCCGCCAACTATGTGCGCCAAACGGGCAGGGCCACTCTGAATATTCTGGCCACTGTCATCAAGGAGAACATCCAGAAGTCTGCCCACCCCATCGGCCCAGACTCGGTCGTCCACGACACCGCCGCGGGGCCCGGCATAGGTGCTGCAGCGCTGGTCGCCAGCCTGCCCAAGGAGCAGCTGCCCAAGGAGATTCTTGTCTCAGACAATGTCGCCATGATGGTGTCGGCAGCCCGCGAGTCTCTGACTGCCTCGCCGCTGCCCCACGTCGAGTGCAAGGAGCTCGACTCGCAAAACCTGTCCGAGGTCCCAGACAACCACTTTACCCACTCCATCAACAACTTCAGCATCTTCACCTTTGTGCGGGCCGGCGATGCCATCCGCGAGACATATCGCACGCTGCAGCCCGGTGGTCTCGCTGTGATCACCTGCTGGCGTCGTTTTGCGCCCATGTTCATTGTCCATGGCGCGCAGAACAAGATCCGGCCTGACTTGCCGCTTATGCCTACCCCCAGCCCCGAGTTCTACGAAGAGGGCGTACTGCAGAAGGTTGCCGAGGAGAACGGCTTCTCTTCGGCCAAGATCGAACTGGCGGAGACGGTCCTGCTTGTTGACGATGAGGAGGATGTTGCTGGCTTGACTTCGCTCATGTCGGGTCCCATGATGGCTAGAGCACGCCAGGGCTACACGGAGGATGAGGAGGCCAAGTGGGCTGAGTCGGTGCGTCAGTCTGTCAAGGAAGAGATTGAGCAGTTTGGCGGTATCAGGTTCGAGGCCTACATTCTTCTGGCCACCAAGTAAAGTGTATAGTGCCGGCAACCAGTAGCATTTCAGACCACGTCCAGGGAGGACAAAAGAGAGGAAGCCATATGAGTGACTGGGCGATGAATGTGTGGTAGACCGATATCTATTGTTCTGTCCCTGAACTGATCAAATTCATGCTTCTGCTTCCTTCGTGACTGGCGAGACGGTTGACATGTTCTGTCAAGTGCTTCTGCATGGTAGCAGCGCTCAGACATGGTATTCGCCGATCGGAGAGACTCAGACGCGGTGAAATTGTTGAAAGTATGTGTTACAACGCACGTGGAGCAATACTGCACTGTTTGGATTCAGCTCCCTTCAATACACTGCAAACGCCGCGCAATATGCGGCTTATTGTTACTTCAGCATGTATTGATACATTCCGACAGTCGGGATCGGTGATACCGAGGGACTAGGAAAAGAGAAAAGGACCCTACCGGAGGTTCCAAGTCCAGGTAGCGAACTTCCATTCTTCAGCCTCGGTGGGTGTGCGAAGACTTTTGCTGATTCTCGGAATACGCTCTTATATACCTTTTGTTTCACTTCATCTGGGTATCAGTTGACTATGTGATGAAGCCGACCAAGGATTAAACAAGTGCTTCAGCCTTTAGTGTTGATCGACAAAGCAACTCAAACGAAATGGCCAAGAATCAAGAGAGCAAATACTGGATGGAGAGCGAAGGCGAGCGGAAGCGCCTAGCTAGCAACCATTTCATCACCAAAGATGCCATGGGCGGTCAACTTGTTCGAGCACCCGTGGACTTTTCTCGGCCAGTCAAGGTTCTAGACAGCGGAACAGCAGATGGTATGTACTGTCACAAGAGCTGATACTGATTCTCCGCATTGGACTTGTTTCGATACCTGTTCGTTCAGGAGAGATGATCCTTCAATATACTCGCAGACCATCTGATACAACCGCTCCCTGACACAGGCACTTGGCTGCTGGACCTGGCCTCATCACTACCTCCGCTCTCAGCATCATGCTCATCCTCACCACAAACCCATGAGTTCGTTGGCACAGATCTCAACCCAGCACCCTTCCCACAATCAACCCCTCCGAACGTCACCTTCGCCGTCCAAGACATCAAAACCCCGTGGCCCGAAGCACAACACAACCTCTTCGACCTCGTCCACCAACGCCTAACCCTCCTCGGTGCAGGTCCCAACCCAGCCGCCTCCATCGCGCACCTCTACTCCATCGTTAAGCCCGGCGGCTGGGTCCAGATCAGCGAGGGCACCATGGATTTCCCGCCGGAAATCGTGAGCCCTGAGCGCACACCTGCGTACAATGACATGTTGCTGCTGATGCAGAGTATTGCGGGCATGGTCGGCGCGGAGTGGCACCTCGGACGGACGCTTAGAGGGCTGCTCGAGGGGGCTGGCTTTGTGGAGATTGGCGAGGAGGATGTGTTGCTCCATATGGGGAGCACCAATAAGGACCCGGAACTGGCTAGACAAGGCGCAGAGAGTTGCGGCGTTGCTGTACACGGTCTATCGAAATTTGCAAAGAGTGAGTTTTCCCCTCCAAACTTATAGACGGCGGTTTGCTTTGTTTCCAATTTGTCCCGAAAGTAGCCAAGTTGCATAAATTGACCGAGCAGCTGACCGTGTATACGTACAGATTTCCCCCCCGAGAAACAGCCGCTTCTCTTAGAAAGATACGAGACACTGCCAGCAGACCTGCAGACAGAACTCGCCGAGAAAGGTGCCGTGTATCCATTGAAAGTAGTATGGGGACGGAAGCCCGAGCGAGATTGACTCTGACCTCAAATCGAAGGCAAATGAGGCAGGAGGGCAGGAGAATAACGAGACAAAGACAAGCTTCAAGACATGTCACTACATGGGGATTTTGCTGCTCGATTCAATATGTCCTCCTTTGTTGGATAGTCTACATAGACTGTTGTTCCAGCATGAATTGTGCAACAGGAAAATGGTCTTTGAGGATGAACTTCGAGTAATTTGACTCCTCTAGAAAGGAGATTTATATGAGATGACATTGTCCCAGTGGTTCTTGTCCTCATCCCACACGAAGCTGCTCTACAAGTTCGAATCATCAGAGATATATAGGTATCCCAGATATGAATCAGAATTTAGTATTTCCAGAACCAGACATTGTAACACACCAGGCTTAACTCTGCGACGCGCAGCCTAGCAACCCTCGACGTTGTACGCAGTCCACCGATGTGATCCAAGAATCCAAAGCCTCCTCACAACGAAACCATTCAGGACCAAGAGCAGCAGCAACATGCACAAAGACAAAGTGGTTGGCAAAGGAGGCAATAGCCAGGCTCAATGTGCATGTGCCAAGATCATCATATCGGCCAAACTTTTTCCAACCATTCTTGTCTTTGGTACATGCGATTCAACAACGACACCAACAAATCCTTTTCTTCATCAATTTTGACAAAAAAGAAACCAAAAAATCTTCCTGATCTAACAGGAATTCCCGACACAATTAGGATTCGAACCTAAGCCTCCGAAGAGAATAGATGTGCTGGAAGGAGCTCGTTGAGCCCATTCTAGTCTATCGCATTAGACCACTCTGCCACTGTGCCTATTTTGATGTCACAACGGATTTTCTAGACACTTATATCCGTTGCCGCAAACCAGTGCTGATTTACATGGCCTCTTCACATGGTGATAAAGGCAGACAAAAAAGTGTAGCCTGGAATTTTATTCAATTGTGGATCAATGGCTTCGTAATGATTCATGCTTAATTGGCCTTGAATGTTGTCTTTGCGGGTACTGTGTCGATCCACATAGGGATCGTGACTATCCACAAGGATACAGTATGATCCTTCTTTAAAGGCACTTACTTGGCCATTTCACAGGCTCCTATGCTTCCTTTGACCAGTATCACTCTTATACTAGTAGCTTGACCTGGCGTGGCTGATCAATCTTTCTTAAAGCTTCAGAGTCCAGGTCGTTTTAGCTATCAACGGTCACATCAAATTTTCAATGATTTCAAGGGTCACACGCGTCAATTTAGGCTATAAATCTAATACAAACAACCACTGAAGACCAAATACTCATTTTATGCTTGGGTTCCGCGATCAGTGATGCTACCAAGATATCCAGGATTGAACTCTTCTGCCTAACACAATTTTGACAAAGACAGATAAAACCAATGAAACCACCCAGGCACACCACATATAAGAATAAAGATAAATACATCATTCACCTTGTGCTTTGCGACCTCCAAAACTCTTCACAGTACTTCAGGCATCATTAATAAGTCACTTAAGGTAAAAAGAAGCATAGAATAACCAAAAATTATACCCATAAGAGACTTTTTAAACCCATTAGATACCATCATTGACCATTATCTTTGCCCGCTATACGCCCTGTATCCATTTCATGTGGAGTGTGTGTGTGTGTGTCCTGTTCCATTTACCGGCCAAGCAATCAATACTTTTTACTCGAACTGAAATAAGGCATTCATCTTTCCCCTTCTCCTTTCCTTTGTCAAAAGTCCACTCGTGATGACCTTGTCCGTGTGAGCCAGTATATATATATATATAGCCAAAAGAAAAAGCGTTCAAGACGTGTAATGTGTAGTGGACCTTCCAAGAGTCACAGATTGAGGGGTCCATGAGTCCGGTGGCCGATAACAATATGGAATAGACGAAATGGATAAAGGTAAACAATATTTGTACCTGTATGCCTAAAAAGAATAACCACTTTGAGGACCGAAAACCGGCACCCACTCGGGATGACAATGTACTCGACTTGTGGTAATATATGCAAACCAGCACTTCTAGTTGAAAGGCTGGGAAAGTCATTTGGTTGACATTGAGAAGACTCTTAGGCCGACTCCTTCTCGGCGACATCGTTCAGACTTGCTTTGCTGAATTGGTCGACAATGTAGCGATCGTGGTGCTCAAGAGCACCTTCATTTGTGTCTTGCGAAGAGCTAGTGCGAGGACTGTTGCCGCCTGTAGTGAGATCAGGAGTGGGCATGGAGGAATCGGAGTGCGACTGTGACCGGACCACATCAACGCCACTGCTGATGCTGCCTTGCCTCGAAGCAGATGAGAACTGGTTGATGAGCTTCTCAAAAGCCAACCACTTGTCATCCGGCCGACTGGGCTTCTTGCGTGACTCGAAGAAAGGCTTGCTTTCCTTGACGAGGTGCTCCTGCTCTGCTCCTTTGAGGCAGTGGCACAGTTTTTCTAGTCATCAAAGTTAGTGGATGTTATTCTGACAGAGAGAAAGCCGTATCCAACGATGACTTACGGACGACGTAATTGGCGAAATTGTCCTTCCACATGACCTGAAGCATATTTGAGCCGTCTTCTGCTCGCCGGGTGATGAGATGATACATCTCCAGGCGGTTTTCCTCGGTACCGTATTCGATGCAGTGCTCCATGACGTTGCTGGCGACCTTTTGCTTGGAGAAGACGAGGAACTGGTCGATGCAAAGTCGAATGACCTTGCCGCGTGCTTCCTGGCCACCTTGACGGATAACCGCCTGGACCACGTAGTTGCCCCAGCTGTCCGTCACCAATTTAGCAGCGACCTCGTGGAACTCTTGGAGAATAAACTCCTTGTCTGCCTCAGTGCCTTTCTCAATCATCCGTTGAATGACTCTGCAGGCATATTGTTGCTGCGAGAGTTCGAACACTCGACCACGGACAGCATCGTAGACGAACTTGATGCGGTCATGGGGCAACTTGGTCAGCAGCTTCTGGACCACGTGATTACCATTGTCGCTCTTCATGATTCGAATAATCTCCGGCTCCAGCTCCTGGGCCAGTTCTACCTGCTGCTCAACAAGAACGTATTCAAGAGCCTGATAAAATGATTAGCCTGTATCTCAATCCAGGTGAACGGATCGCACTCACCTCCTGCACGCATCGACAGCCATAGAGCTGCGTAGAGAGCTGCACCACGTGACCCTTCATCTTGCCAGCAAGAAGCTTCTTCTGAACCATGGTACCGTGCTCAAAGAGCTGCTGAATGACATAATTACCAAAGACATCCACCATGAGCGCATTAGCGTCGACCATGATTTCCTCAAAAACACGCTGTCTATCGTCGCTGTTGGCAGTCGGGATCTTTTCCTGCAAGAAGCGAGATCCTTGTTGATCACCGGCAAATTCCACGACACGACCGAACACATTCTACAAAGTCGTTAGCGTTCTCACGAGTCACGGACGAGTTTGTAGGAGGGGTGGCGTGGCATCCATACCTTGAGTTCCCATTTCTTGTTGGACTTGGAGCTCCGACGAAATTCTTCCAATTCTTGGCACCGGATGCCCACCGGCAGGTCTTGGGGACGACCACCGCGGGACACCGCGCCAGCGGGTCCAGTAGGGGGGTAGAATTGGGGCTGAGCAAGGGAGAAGTTGTAGTTGTGGTAGGGAACATTGAATTGTTGAGACATTTGCTGCATCATTTGCACGGGAATCTCGCCGTAAGGGTTATAGGCTGACTCCAGGTATGGTGACTGGGTTGCCTGCCTCGACTGTTGCCCCTGCGATCTTTGAAGCCTGGTCAGTGTGTCGAAATCAAGCTGTGCAACGGGCGGCGTCCAAGGGTCTGTTTGCCGTGAAGCCCCCATGGTACGTGGGCTGTTGAGGGCAGAATGCTGCATTCCGCTTGCCAGAGAGTCTCGCCGAGTGTCCTGCACACTCCCATTCAGGTTAAAGGCACCGCCGTTGGACGCAGTGAAGTCGCGCCAGTTGGTACGCTGTGGCGGTGGTGGTGTGCTCGCTGCAGCTGCAGTACTTCGCGGACCAGGAGAACCCGCTTGGAGACGTTCCCGCAGCATGCTGGCGCGAACATTCTCAATCGCTTGTGTTTGCTCACTTCCTGGGTTCAGGCTGTGGCTCTGGGAGCGGGCACCGGGCTGCTGTTGTGCGAGACCAGTCGATGCTGCACTCAGAGAGAGCCGCGACTGGTGGCGGGAGTGGGAGCCGAAGAAGGACGGGGTCTCGTTGAAATGGAGAAGTGCCTCGCTTTCCGAGTGGCGTGAAGGAGGTAGACCGTCGTCGAACTGAGTGGGCAGGCCCCGCTGGAACCCAATGTAAGTTTGCTGAGACGCACTACCGTTATCTCCCAACGTATTATCAGCAAAGTTGGCGTAGCTCCCTGAAGCAAATGGCGCTCCAAAAGCAGAGCCTGAAAATGGTGTGCCTTGGATGTTGGCGGTACGCGATGGGTTGTATGGAGGCGAGGAGTTGGTGGCGTTCTGTAGACCGTTCTGGGGAGAAGTGCTTCGCGATGCGCTTGGGCGGAAGGCCTGGTTGTCGGCCGAGTTCCACGTGCTTGGAGCAGGCCTCGACCAAGGACTGCTATCGGGGGCGCCCATGCCCTGGGTTCTCTGAGTAGGAACTGGGTACGATACGGTCAATCTTTGTCCCTCTTCCATGTGATTGTACCGGCTATACGAACTTGAAGCGGATGAAGATTCTCTCGAGGAAAGGGAGTCGGCCAGATGATGAGGGTGGTTTCGCCATATATTGCCGCCACCATTCACCCAGCCCGAGAATCGGCTGACTGTGTGAGGATTTTGTTGTGTTCGAGCTTGCGAAGCAGACTGGCCCTGGTTCTGTACGCGGTTCGTCAGCTTCTTGTTAACCAGCACTGGTGGTTTGGGGGACCGGACAGCAGGTGTTTCTTCACATCACCCGTGGAGGCGGCCGGAAAGTGCAAAGACACAGCCGGCGTCTGCTACCAGTGTGATGGCGTACGAATGGCCGGCAATCCCGAACGGGACAAGACAGAGGACTGCAGACTTACACCAGTCTCCATGGCGGGCTTGTGCTTTTGGGAGCGGGGCTCTCTGGTTGTAGATTTCGGAGGCAGAGGTCGGTCGGTCAATCGAATCCAGCTGGGGCTAGTTGGTATATCTGCTACGAACAAGGTGCGTGTTAACAAACAAATCGCAAGATGATGACTGTGTTCTTAGTACAGATCAAGACAACAATAAAAAAAATATTTAGCCGCGCAGATGACGATGGCCTGGGGGGCGGCAGCCTGGAGGATGTAACGAAGGAACAGTGCAAGGGCAAGAGTGGGTTCCCCAAGAAAAGGACGAAGCAGCGGGTGTAGATTGGCTCTAGCGCTAAGATAAAGGTAGTTGTCCAGCTTTTGGCCTGTCAGACTCGGGACCCAGCAGTACGTCAGATCAGGTCAGGTCAGATATGGTAGAGCGGCCACCGCCTTGACCTGAGGTTGAACGTCACTCTCGCTGGCGATGAGCGAGGCTGGTGCTGAGGCTGAGCCGACCGGGTGCAGGAGTAAAACTGCTTGGCTGGACACGACTCGAGAAGACACAACGTACCTCAAAAAGCAGGAGAGGAAGAAGGCGAAGTCGGTATAAAGAAGCAGTGGATGGCTGTGGGGAAGCAGAGTTTGAGAGTGTCTGTCGCAGGACGGCTGGGGCGCTGGCTGTTGAATCGCAGCAGGAGTATATCGTCACAATCGGAGGAGCGTGGATCTTGATGATGTTGGTGAGGTTGGTGATGTCGATGGGGTTTTGATGTTGCAGGTGCAGAAAGTAGGCAGAAGCAGAAGCAGAAGCAGAAGCAGACAGACAGGGCAATCAGTC